AGGAGAATGAGGAGAATGAGGAGAATGAGGAGAACAAGGAGAATGAGGAGAATTGGGAGAATGAGGAGAACGAGGAGAATGAGGAGAATGGGGAGAATGAGGAGAACGAGGAGAATGAGGAGAATGGGGAGAATGAGGAGAACGAGGAGAATGAGGAGAATGGGGAGAATGAGGAGAATGAGGAGAACGAGGAGAATGAGGAGAATGGGGAGAATGAGGAGAATGAGGAGAACGAGGAGAATGAGGAGAATGAGGAGAACGAGGAGAATGAGGAGAATGAGGAGAACGAGGAGAATGAGGAGAATGAGGAGAATGAGGAGAACGAGGGAGAATGAGGAGAATGAGGAGAATGAGGAGAACGGGGAGAATGAGGAGAATGAGGAGAACGAGGAGAACGAGGAGAATGAGGAGAACGAGGAGAACGAGAAGAACGAGGAGAATGAGGAGAATGAGGAGAACAAGGAGAATGAGGAGAATGAGGAGAACAAGGAGAATGAGGAGAATGAGGAGAATGAGGAGAACGAGGAGAATGAGGAAAATGGGGAGAATGAGGAGAATGAGGAGAACGAGGAGAATGAGGAGAATGAGGAGAACGAGGAGAATGAGGAGAATGAGGAGAATGAGGAGAACAAGGAGAATGAGGAGAATGAGGAGAACGAGGAGAATGAGGAGAATGGGGAGAATGAGGAGAACGAGGAGAATGAGGAGAATGAGGAGAACGAGGAGAATGAGGAGAATGAGGAGAATGAGGAGAATGAGGAGAACGAGGAGAATGAGGAGAATGAGGAGAACAAGGAGAATGAGGAAAATGGGGAGAATGAGGAGAATGAGGAGAACGAGGAGAATTAGGAGAATGAGGAGAACGAGGAGAATGAGGAGAATGAGGAGAATGAGGAGAACAAGGAGAATGAGGAGAATGAGGAGAATGAGGAGAATGAGGAGAATGAGGAGAATGAGGAGAATGAGGAGAACGAGGAGAATGAGGAGAATGAGGAGAATGAGGAGAACGAGGAGAATGAGGAGAATGAGGAGAATGAGGAGAACAAGGAGAATGAGGAGAATGAGGAGAATGAGGAGAATGAGGAGAACGAGGAGAATGAGGAGAATGGGGAGAATGAGGAGAACGAGAAGAATGAGGAGAATGAGGAGAACGAGGAGAATGAGGAGAATGAGGAGAATGAGGAGAATGAGGAGAACAAGGAGAATGAGGAGAATGAGGAGAACGAGGAGAACGAGGAGAATGAGGAGAATGAGGAGAACAAGGAGAATGAGGAGAACAAGGAGAATGAAGGGAACGAGGAGAAGGAGGGGATGAGACCTGGACACAAAGCTGCTGCCGCTGTCCGCAGAGGAGTTGGTCTCGTCCATGACCCTCATCTTGCGCAGCTTTGGCCGCGCCCGTTCGCTGGTTTTGGGGACGCACTCTGGCATCCCGTCCAGCTCATCCAGAGTGGACTGGCGGGAGAACAACATGGTGGCATCTGTGATGGCGCTGGGGGTGAGAGGGTGAGGTGAGGGTGAGGCGTGGGTGAGAGGGGGGAGGGGGGGTGAGAGGGGGAGGTGTGGGTGAGAGGAAGGAGGTGAGGGTGAGGCGTGGGTGAGAGGGGGAGGTGTGGGTGAGAGGGGGGAGGTGAGGGTGAGGCGTGGGTGAGGGGGGGAGGTGTGGGTGAGAGGAGGGAGGTGAGGGTGAGGCGTGGGGTGGGTGAGAGGGGGAGGTGTGGGTGAGAGGAGGGAGGTGAGGGTGAGGCGTGGGTGAGAGGGGGAGGTGTGGGTGAGAGGGGGGAGGTGAGGGTGAGGCGTGGGTGAGGGGGGGTGAGGCGTGGGTAAGAGGGGGGTTACGTGTGGGTGAAAGGGGGGGTGAGAGGAGGAGGTGTGGGTGAGGCGTGGGTGAGAGGGGGGAGGTGAGGGTGAGGCGTGGGTAAGAGGGGGGTGAGGCGTGGTTGAGAGGAGGGTGAGGAGCGGGTGAGAGAGGGGTGAGGTGTGGGTGATGAAGGAAGAGGCATGGGTGAGGCGTGGGCGAGGGAGGGGGAGGTGTGGGTGAGGGAGGGGGAGGTGTGGGTGAGGGTGGGGGAGGTGTGGGTGAGGGTGGGGGAGGTGTGGGTGAGGGTGGGGGAGGTGTGGGCGAGGGAGGGGGAGGGGTGGGTGAGGGAGGGGTGAGGCGTGGGTGAGGGTGGAGGAGGTGTGGGTGAGGGTGGGGGAGGTGTGGGTGAGGGAGGGGGAAGTGTGGGTGAGGGAGGGGGAGGTGTGGGTGAGGGAGGGGGAGGTGTGGGTGAGGGAGGGGGAAGTGTGGGTGAGGGAGGGGGAGGCGTGGGTGAGGGAGGGGGAAGTGTGGGTGAGGGAGGGGGAGGTGTGGGTGAGGGAGGGGGAGGTGTGGGTGAGGGAGGTGGTGATAGAACAACATGAGAATGAGGAGCGACAGAAACACTTCATAACAAATGGAGAAACACTCGACTTTGAAATCTCTGAACTGAGCTCTAACTTTAGACATTTTTGTTCTTCCATCCATCGCTGTGTGATCTGGGGAATCCTGAGGCGGCCAGGATCTATCCCAAACAGGCATGGAGAAGAAGCGGCTCTACTTCGGACGGGGCCAGAGACTGCCACAACAGTTTGATACAGGAGCACAGAGCCTTCTCTGTGTCTGGGGGGACAGCACAGGGACTGGCCTCCTGCTGGGACTCTGAGGAGCACAGGGACTGGCCTCCTGCTGGGACTCTGAGGAGCACAGGGACTGGCCTCCTGCTGGGACTCTGAGGAGCACAGGGACTGGCCTCCTGCTGGGACTCTGAGGAGCACAGGGACTGGCCTCCTGCTGGGATTCGGAGGAGTATGGGGAGATTTATGCAGCTAAAATCTGGAACAGTTTTTTCTGAAAATATGAAACAGGCTTCTTCTCTGACAATGTTCAAACGTTGGTCAGAAATGCCAATATTTTCCAAAATATTGCTGCCGTAGCTGCCGTAGCTGCCATATTTGCCCTAGCTGCTGTAGCCGGCGTAGTTGTCGTAGTACCTGGACATGGAGTCTCTGGAGGCTGTGGAGTCCTGGCTCTGCATCCGGAAGCCCCCACGTCTCCTGCGGACTCGTCCCGATCCGGACGTGGACTCGTCCTCGCTCAGCTGGTCCAGACTGGACTCTCGGGACAGGTTCTGCCTTCTGGCCTTCTCGTAGTACACGTGGATGCTCTCTCTGGTCGGGACGTTTCCCTAAAGCACAGCATCAGTGTCACGGTCCAGATGCAAACAACAGTCACACAACAGTCACAGCCCAAACAACAGTCACAGCCCAAACAACAGTCACAGCCCAAAATACAGTCACACCACAAACAACAGTCACAGCCCAAACAACAGTCACAGCCCATACAACAGTCACAGCCCAAACAACAGTCACAGCCCATACGACAGTCACAGCCCAAACAACAGTCACAGCCCAAACAACAGTCACAGCCCAAACAACAGTCACAACCCAAACAACAGTCACAACCCAAACAACAGTCACAGCCCAAACAACAGTCACAGCCCAAACAACAGTCACAGCCCAAACAGTCACAGCCCAAACAACAGTCACAGCCCAAACAACAGCCCATACAACAGTCACAGCCCAAACAACAGTCACAACCCAAACAACAGTCACAGCCCAAACAACAGTCACAGCCCAAACAACAGTCACAGCCCAAACAACAGTCACAGCCCAAACAACAGTCACAGCCCAAACAGTCACAGCCCAAACAACAGTCACAGCCCAAACAACAGTCACAGCCCATACAACAGTCACAGCCCAAATAACAGTCACAGCCCAAACAACAGTAACAGCCCAAACAACAGTCACAGCCCAAACAACAGTCACAGCCCAAACAACAGTCACAACCCAAACAACAGTCACAGCCAAAACAACAGTCACAGCCCAAACAACAGTCACAGCCCAAACAACAGCCACAGCCCAAACAACAGTCACAGCCCATACAGCAGTCACAGCCCAAACAACAGTCACAGCCCAAACAGTCACAGCCCAAACAGTCACAGCCCAAACAACAGTCACAGCCCAAACAACAGTCACAGCCCAAACAACAGTCACAGCCCATACAGCAGTCACAGCCCAAACAACAGTCACAGCCCAAACAACAGTCACAGCCCAAACAACAGTCACAGCCCAAACAACAGCCACAGCCCAAACAACAGTCACAGCCCATACAACAGTCACAGCCCAAACAACAGCCACAGCCCAAACAACAGTCACAGCCCAAACAACAGTCACAACCCAAACAACAGTCACAGCCCAAACAACAGTCACAGCCCAAACAGTCACAGCCCAAACAACAGTCACAGCCCAAACAACAGCCCATACAACAGTCACAGCCCAAACAACAGTCACAACCCAAACAACAGTCACAGCCCAAACAACAGCCACAGCCCAAACAACAGTCACAGCCCATACAACAGTCACAGCCCAAACAACAGCCACAGCCCAAACAACAGTCACAGCCCAAACAACAGTCACAGCCAAAACAACAGTCACAGCCCATACAACAGTCACAGCCCAAACAACAGCCACAACCCAAACAACAGTCACAGCCCAAACAACAGTCACAGCCCAAACAACAGTCACAGCCAAAACAACAGTCACAGCCCAAACAACAGTCACAACCCAAACAACAGTCACAGCCCATACAGCAGTCACAGCCCAAACAACAGTCACAGCCCAAACAGTCACAGCCCAAACAGTCACAGCCCAAACAACAGTCACAGCCCAAACAACAGTCACAGCCCAAACAATAGTCACAGCCCATACAGCAGTCACAGCCCAAACAACAGTCACAGCCCAAACAACAGTCACAGCCCAAACAACAGTCACAGCCCAAACAACAGCCACAGCCCAAACAACAGTCACAGCCCATACAACAGTCACAGCCCAAACAACAGCCACAGCCCAAACAACAGTCACAGCCCAAACAACAGTCACAGCCAAAACAACAGTCACAGCCCATACAACAGTCACAGCCCAAACAACAGCCACAACCCAAACAACAGTCACAGCCCAAACAACAGTCACAGCCCAAACAACAGTCACAGCCCATACAACAGTCACAGCCCAAACAACAGCCACAGCCCAAACAACAGTCACAGCCCAAACAACAGTCACAACCCAAACAACAGTCACAGCCCAAACAACAGCCACAGCCCAAACAACAGTCACAGCCCATACAACAGTCACAGCCCAAACAACAGCCACAGCCCAAACAACAGTCACAGCCCAAACAGTCACAGCCCAAACAACAGTCACAGCCCAAACAACAGCCCATACAACAGTCACAGCCCAAACAACAGTCACAACCCAAACAACAGTCACAGCCCAAACAACAGCCACAGCCCAAACAACAGTCACAGCCCGTACAACAGTCACAGCCCAAACAACAGCCACAGCCCAAACAACAGTCACAGCCCAAACAACAGTCACAGCCAAAACAACAGTCACAGCCCATACAACAGTCACAGCCCAAACAACAGCAACAACCCAAACAACAGTCACAGCCCAAACAACAGTCACAGCCCAAACAACAGTCACAGCCAAAACAACAGTCACAGCCCAAACAACAGTCACAACCCAAACAACAGTCACAGCCCATACAGCAGTCACAGCCCAAACAACAGTCACAGCCCAAACAGTCACAGCCCAAACAGTCACAGCCCAAACAACAGTCACAGCCCAAACAACAGTCACAGCCCAAACAATAGTCACAGCCCATACAGCAGTCACAGCCCAAACAACAGTCACAGCCCAAACAACAGTCACAGCCCAAACAACAGTCACAGCCCAAACAACAGCCACAGCCCAAACAACAGTCACAGCCCATACAACAGTCACAGCCCAAACAACAGCCACAGCCCAAACAACAGTCACAGCCCAAACAACAGTCACAGCCAAAACAACAGTCACAGCCCATACAACAGTCACAGCCCAAACAACAGCCACAACCCAAACAACAGTCACAGCCCAAACAACAGTCACAGCCCAAACAACAGTTTCAGCCCATACAACAGTCACAGCCCAAACAACAGTCACAGCCCAAACAACAGTCACAGCCCAAACAACAGTCACAGCCCAAACAACAGCCACAGCCCAAACAACAGTCACAGCCCAAACTGCCACAGCCCAAACAACAGTCACATTAAAGGGGGAGTACCTTCTTGACCTCCCTCGTTAGCATACATCGCTCGATCTTGAGCACGGTGGAGATGTCGATGTATTCTCGACACATCTCGTTCATCCAGCGAGTGAAACTGTCCACTGTGGTCTGGAACAGGACCCAGGTGAACTTCAGGATGTTAAAGACCCGCTTCAGGATGTTGTCTGTGGAGACAGGAGGTTAGGCATTTAGAGACCAGAGCGAGACCAGAGAGAGACCAGAGAGAGACCAGAGCGAGACCAGAGCGTGACCAGAGAGAGACCAGAGAGGGACTAGGGAGGGACCAGAGACAGACCAGAGAGGGACTAGAGAGAGACCAGAGAGAGACCAGAGAGAGACCAGAGAGACCAGAGCGAGACCAGAGAGAGAACAGAGAGAGACCAGAGAGAAACTAGAGAGAGACCAGAGAGAGGGACTAGAGAGAGACCAGACAGAGAGAGAGACCACACAAAGAGACCAGATAGACCAGAGCACGACCAGAGAAGCCAAAGAGAGAAACACCAGGGTCCGAGAAAAGAGAGGGACCAGAGAGAGACCAAAGAAACCAGGGAGACCAAAGAGACCAGAGAGAGAGACCTGAGAGACCAGAGGAGCCACATGCAAAAACGTCCCAAACATGCAGCCTTGGTTTGAGTGGATTATAGACTTTGACAAATGTTTTCAGTTGTTTCATGGTCGCTGCACACAACCTTTTACCAGTTGTTACTTTCTGGTCTGAAGATTTGAACCTTTTTTATAGTGACCTACCTGGTCCTTCGGTTTCTTTACTCTCATCACCCGACTGTGGATTATTCAGGAGGTCTCCCAGGTCTATGGTCACGTGACCCGCTGGAAAAACACAACAAAACCATCAGAATTCACCCACATAGTTTACAAAGTTTGGACTTTTACTTTGTTCACTGGTCCCTTGTTTATCGCAGGGGTGATGTGTTCTAAAGTAAAGCTGCGAGACTGAGAGACCAGAGAGAGATACCAGAGAGAGAGACCAAAGACAGGAACCAGAGAGAGACCAGAGAGACGTACCAGAGAGTGAGAGTGCAGAGAGAGACCAGAGAGAAACCTGAAAGAGGTACCAAAGAGACCAGCGAGAGGCCAGAGAGAGAGACCAGAGAGAGAGAGTGCAGAGAGAGACCAGAGAGAAACCAGAGGGACACCAGAGAGAGAGAGAGACCAGCGACAGGGAGAAGCGAGAGAGACCAGGGAGAGAGACCAGAGAGAGACACCAGAGAGAGACACCAGAGAGAGACCAAAGAGACAAGAGAGCAAGACCAGGGAGAGGTACCAGAGAACAACCGGAGAGAGAGACCAGAAAGAGGTACAAGAGAGAGACAAGAGAGAGACCAGAGAGTCCCCAGAGAGAGTCCCCAGAGAGAGACCAGAGAGAGACCAGAGAGAGACCAGAGAGAGACCAGAGAGAGACCAGAGACCGCTCTGTGACTCTGTGAAACCGCTTTGTGACTCTGGTCTGTGAAAGGCGGTATATAAATAAAAGCTTACTTAAAAAAAAGCTTGCTTAGAGAGTCCCCAGAGAGAGACCAGAGAGAGACAAGAGAGAGACCAGAGAGTCCCCAGAGAGAGTCCCCAGAGAGAGACCAGAGAGAGACCAGAGAGAGACCAGAGAGTCCCCAGAGAGAGTCCCCAGAGAGAGACCAGAGAGAGACCAGAGAGTCCCCAGAGAGAGACCAGAGAGAGACCGGCCTGTTACTGGTTTCTGGTGTCTTGGTGTAACAGTCTTTTCTGTTGTAAACATACAAACACAGACTCTGGTCTTACGCTCTCTCTTGGCTTTCCTGGTCCGCACTCCTTTCGTGTACTTTTTCCAGAATTTTCGCTTCTCTCTGCTGCGAGCCTTAAGTGCAGCTTTCGGGTCAGTGATCCAGGCGTGGTACAGGAACTGAAGGACACACACACACAGATACACACACACACACAGATAGACACACACACACACAGATACACACACACACACAGACACACACAGATACACACACACACACACACACACACACAGATAACACACACACACACACACACAGATAACACACACACACACACACACACACACACACAGATAACACACACACATACACAGGCAGACATTTAATGCTCATGTACTTCCAGTTTAAGAAGTTTTTGACAAATTACTTTGCCAATGTGACCGCGTACAAATGTGTGTGTGTGTGTGTGTGTGGGTCTGTGTCTGTGTGCGTGTGTTGTCTGTGTGTGTCTGTCTGTGTGCGTTTGTATACGTGCGTGTGTCTGTGTGTGTGTGGGTTACTGTGGAGAATAAACGGGATGTGATAAAAGGAATCTTGTTGGCGGGGTATGTGCTCTCCAGGTAATATGTTATGTTCATTCAAAATAATAAAACAGAAAATCAAAGGTCCACAACTGTCAGGTACATCCTCACTCCGGTTAAACGATCACTTCAAAAATGAAATAAATAATAACAAATAAAATAAAACAATCAATACAAATGAATAGATAATGGTCAAATAAAACAATAAGATCCTTAATTCATCCCACAGTGGGGAAATGTCAGTGTTGCAGCGCACAGACAGGACAGTAGTTCACCATTCACTCTCTCATTTACATTCAGACCTATTCTACATGTTTTTAGTGGTAGGGGAAACCGGAGCACCTGGAGGAAACATACGCAGACACGGGGAGAACATGCAAACTTCATTCAAGGACAAAAATCTTCAGTTGCCCCTTTCTTAAAACAGATAGACTTCAGCACTCTTCCTTCAAACTGTTTTGATTTCATGTTGAATATTTGTTTTCAGAATTCTTTGTTTTTTATCATATAGTTATTAAAAAGTTTAAGTCTAGTCCAAAGTCCAAGGCTGGTTCCAATAGAAGCGGTCTCTCTGTGTTCTTAACAGTTGATATTTGGGCTCTGGGTGAAATGTTTGTATGTTTTAAAGTCAACAAAGGAGAGGCTTGAGAGAGGGACATGTGTTTTTGTGTCCTCATTTTCTTACGGAAAAATACTGCAGAGCAAGATCAGAGGTCAGAGGTCAGAGGTGTGTCTGGATCAGCTCTGAATAAAAAATATAAATAATACACGTTTTTGTCCAAAAAGAAGAAAAACTGTTAAAAACCAGAGAGAGAGAGAGAGACCAGAGACGGGCCTGCAAGAGATACCAAAGAAACCAGAGAGAGAGACCATAGACTAGAGAGACTAGAGAGAGACTGAGCGAGGGAGAGAGACACCAGAGAGAGACACCAGAGAGAGACTAGAGAGACTAGAGAGAGGGAGAGAGACACCAGAGAGAGAGAGAGAGACCAGAGAGAGAGACACCAGAGAGAGACTAGAGAGAGACTAGAGAGAGGGAGAGAGACACCAGCGAGAGAGAGAGAGAGACCAGAGAGAGAGACACCAGAGAGAGACACCAGAGAGGGACTAGAGAGAGGGAGAGAGACACCAGAGAGAGAGAGAGAGACCAGAGAGAGAGACACCAGAGAGAGACTAGAGAGAGGGAGAGAGACACCAGAGAGAGAGAGGAGAGACCAGGGAGAGAGACACCAGAGAGAGACACCAGAGAGGGACTAGAGAGAGGGAGAGAGACACCAGAGAGAGAGAGAGAGACCAGAGAGAGAGACACCAGAGAGAGACTAGAGAGAGGGAGAGAGACACCAGAGAGGGACTAGAGAGAGGGAGAGAGACACCAGAGAGAGAGAGAGAGACCAGAGAGAGAGACACCAGAGAGAGAGAGAGAGACCAGAGAGAGAGAGAGAGACCAGAGAGAGAGACACCAGAGAGAGACTGAGAGACCAGAGAGAGAAAGAGAGACCAGAGAGAGACCAGAGAGAGAGACACCAGAGAAAGAAAGAGAGACCAGAGAGACAGGAACTGGGACGAGGGATCATTCCAACTCTCCAGACTTTGAGACACACTCTCCCAGTGACCACCAGAGGGCGCAGTCAGCCCAGTGACCACCAGAGGGCGCAGTCAGCCCAGTAAACCACACAGGTCCAGGGGTGACTGCTTCTGGGAAGAGCAGCTGATGAGGCCCGCCATGTGTGATGTCGCAGGAGAGAACCATGCCGTCAAAACATCAAGAACCAAATCACTTTATAGTACTTAATAGAGTAGCTAGATATCTGGTGTGAACTATCAGTGCACACTGGGGTCGTCTTGTTCAGTTATTCCAATGTGGTTTTACTGCAGATGGCAAATAAACTTAATCCTGAATCTATTAGAGCTGTGTGCATGTCTCTTCACATTAGCAAACGCATTAGCCACGTAGCATGCATCTCCCCATTACCAGGTGCATTAGCCACGTAGCATGCATCTCCCCATTACCAGGTGCATTAGCCACGTAGCATGCATCTCCCCATTACCAGGTGCATTAGCCACGTAGCATGCACCTCCCCATTACCAGGTGCATTAGCCACGTAGCATGCATCTCCACATTACCAGGTGCATTAGCCACGTAGCATGCATCTCCACATTAGCCCATGGATTAGCCGCGTAGCATGCACCTCCACATTAGCCCATGGATTAGCCGCGTAGCATGCACCTCCACATTGGTACATGCATTAGCCACCTAGCATGCATCAGTGAGTTAGTGGTTAGTACCTTTCCTATCCTCATCACATACTGCAGGACGGTTTTCGGCAGCTTTATGATGGACTTGGGCAGCGCTATGACGGCCGACACAAACTTCCCGATCGCTCGCTTCCATGAGGTGAGAGGGGGAGACCACAGGGAGTTAGAACACAGCACTTGTTATAAAGTTAGTTATGCAAGAATGTGGTTTCGTTTCGTCGCGGCACTTTGCTGTAAGAGATGAGGGAGTGGTGTTAGCAGTAGCGCATTAGCACGTTCAGAACAGGCTTCAGTCAGTGACTCCCAACCTTTTTTACCTTGTGAACCCTCGTCAGCAGAGACAGGGCACGCCTCAAGTACCCCCTGTTGTTAAGGGGGTGTGTGTCTTGTCTAGAATTATGGAAACCTGAAACCAGGACGATAAACCGGGATGAGGGGGCTGTTTTAGTCTCGCACACCTGGGATTCTGTCCGAAAGAAGTCAGTTATTCCACTCTGAGGAAGACCAAACTGGTATGTTATGGAGATCAATCCTAGATCAATCATCGATGGATATAACATCTATACCATGCATATATACACCAAAACATAACTTTGTGAAAAAGTTGGATCCGAGCACCGGCGAAACACAAACGGCCAAAGCTAGAATAACACACAGAAGTCTTGAACCACTGTAAACCATGGCTCACGCTTGTTTTGTTATAAATAATTGCAGGAATAACACTGTTTTTTACCTGGAAAGCCGACTTTTTGGGCGGATCGTCGTCCTTTTTCTCCTCCTCCTCTTCCTCCTCTTCGCTGTCCGTCTCAAATAAATAATAGTCGCCGCTTCTCACCACTGAGACAAGCGCAGTCACAGAGTTAAATCCTCCCACAGCGACACACCACCACCACACACACAGGCTACAGGCAGTTTACACACACTGGCTTTAGTTCTTTGAGGTTGTGTTGGAACAGTGTTAATAAAGCACCGCAGACGTGAACGAGTCGACGGGACTTGAACTGCTCATCTTCAGTTGAAAAGTTCTAATTTACATGTTGTATTCATATTTACAGTCTATGGTATTATCTATACCCGTTTCTGCAGGGTCAATGTTTAGCCCCGCCCCCAACTCATTTCCCCTACGCTCTCCTCCCATGGAGCCATCTAGTTGTATTTGCGATCTATATGCTAACATTAGCATGAGCGCAACTTCTCATAAACTGTACAATAATCTCTGATGAAACGGTATAAAAGTAACGCACTGCTAACACAATATATAACTGAAAGATTACCGCTAGTTCCGCGTCCGAATGTAGTCCGAGCGTAGATAGTCCGAGCGTAGATAGTCCGAGCGTAGATAGTCCGAGCGTAGATAGTCCGAGCGTAGATAGTCCGAGCGTAGATAGTCCGAGCGTAGACAGTTCGAGCGTAGATAGTCCGAGCGTAGACAGTCCGAGCGTAGACAGTCCGAGCATTGATAGTCCGAACGTAGATAGTCCGAGCGTAGATAGTCCGAGCATTGATGGTCCGAGTGTAGATAGTCCCAGCGTAGATAGTCCGAGCGTAGATAGTCCGAGCGTAGATAGTCCGAGCGTAGATAGTCCGAGCGTAGATAGTCCGAGCGTAGATAGTCCGAGCGTAGATAGTCCGAGCGTAGACAGTTCGAGCGTAGATAGTCCGAGCGTAGACAGTTCGAGCGTAGATAGTCCGAGCGTAGACAGTTCGAGCGTAGATAGTCCGAGCGTAGACAGTCCGAGCGTAGATAGTCCGAGCGTAGACAGTTCGAGCGTAGATAGTCCGAGCGTAGACAGTTCGAGCGTAGATAGTCCGAGCGTAGACAGTTCGAGCGTAGATAGTCCGAGCGAGACAGTCCGAGCGTAGACAGTCCGAGCATTGATGGTCCGAGTGTAGATAGTCCCAGCGTAGATAGTCCAAGCGTAGATAGTCCGAGCGTAGATAGTCCGAGCGTAGATAGTCCGAGGCGGTCCTGCAGGTCTCTCCCTCAGACCAGTCTCTCCAGAGGATACGATGTAAGCTAGCTCTGTTCAGGGCTTGGTTTCTTCTTTGATCATGTTTGGCTTTAGTTCCTCTTCTCTTCCTCACTGTTGTGTGGTTTGGGCTGTTTTGTTGTGTCTGCAGTTACAGCCAGAGGAGTTATAGCCACTTATGCTAACATGCTACTGTGTTTAGCAGCGCTGTAGAGCAGGGACGTGCGGTGAGGTTTGTGATTGGGGAGGCACTGACTTTAAAAGTCAGATTTACAATCATTATTCAAATAAAATAGCATTTAATCACCAATGCAATGACATCCACAAACTTTATATACTGTAAAGATAAGAGAACCAGCTTCTTTTAATAATCTCACAACAAATCTAGCTGCTGACTCTGCTCCGCATCAAACAACATCTTTAAGAAGCGCAGGTGCGAGAGACGCGAGGAGAGAGAGACGCGAGGAGAGAGGAGCAGAGAGAGACAGAGAGGAGCAGAGAGACGGAGACGCGAGGAGCAGAGAGAGACGGAGACGCGAGGAGAGAGAGACGCGAGGAGAGAGGAGCAGAGAGAGACAGAGAGGAGCAGAGAGACGGAGACGCGAGGAGCAGAGAGAGACGGAGACGCGAGGAGAGAGAGACGCGAGGAGAGAGGAGCAGAGAGAGACAGAGAGGAGCAGAGAGACGGAGACGCGAGGAGCAGAGAGAGACAGAGAGGAGCAGAGAGACGGAGACGCGAGGAGAGAGAGACGCGAGGAGAGAGGAGCAGAGAGAGACAGAGAGGAGCAGAGAGACGGAGACGCGAGGAGCAGAGAGAGACGGAGACGCGAGGAGAGAGAGACGCGAGGAGAGAGGAGCAGAGAGAGACAGAGAGGAGCAGAGAGACGGAGACGCGAGGAGCAGAGAGAGACGGAGACGCGAGGAGAGAGAGACGCGAGGAGAGAGGAGCAGAGAGAGACAGAGAGGAGCAGAGAGACGGAGACGCGAGGAGCAGAGAGAGACGGAGAGACGCGAGGAGAGAGAGACGCGAGGAGAGAGGAGCAGAGAGAGACGGAGACGCGAGGAGAGAGAGACGCGAGGAGAGAGAGACGCGAGGAACATAAACAATAATTTAAACAAGTTGCAGAACTCTTGAGCAGTGTTTGAATCAGTGTTTTTCGGAAAAGCACTACTTTGCCGGTATCTGTCAATGTTCAACATAAAACACAGATTAACAAACTCCTCCCCCGCAGCCGGACTAACCTCGTAAGTCCAGTGGTGGTCTCCCAGTCTATATTAATTCTTTCTTTGTTTGAAAGTCCAATTGAGAAAAAAAATCTTCATTCAAATCATCCATTTTCCAGCAAAAGAAATAGCATTTTGGGCTGATTGTTTGTTAGCAACTCTGGTATGAACTTTATGCTCACTATCACCCCTAGCGGTGAGGCACAGATACCGCCTGCCTCACGCCAAGCTTTTTCCTTGTGTGTTCATCTACGATCAAAAGACTTAAACTAAATATAAATTGTACACACATACGTGCAATACACTACTAAACACTAAGAGGAGTTTAAAAAATGTTTTTAAAGCAGGATATTTGAAACAAACGGTGATATATCAACTGCACGAGCTGAGTGCACTCAGACACACACACACACACTGTGAGGGAGCGGTCTGGGGTGAGGCACGCAGGAGCGCTGCCTCACCTCGTCTCTTTGAATAGGAATAACGGGATTTCGGCGATTTTGACTTCAGAAATGATCAAAACTGATGGGAACCGTGCCGAATATACATTAAAAGCATAGGACAGTGGATATAAATTATATATTTAAACTAAAATAATTATTAGTTTCCAATAATGGCAGGTGAGGCTCTGCCTCCCCTGCCTCCCCTGACTGCACGTCCCTGCTGTAGAGGCTAGAGGACGCAGCCTCGTTCTGTGATTGGAGGAGAGCGGGCGTCACGCTAAGTCTCTACTCAGCACTTTATACGCCTGAGTTCATACACACGGATTATCATACAACTTGTATGTAGAAATAAGCATTTTTATGAACTAATAAAAATCAGGTATAGCATCTTTAAACGTTTCTCTTTGGATTAGCCAACGGTGAGGTCAGATACTACTAATACATACATAGAACATGTCTGATTGGTCACATAATATCTTAAACACTATCCTTTAGGCTTGCTTCTCCATCTCTCTCTCTCATCTATTGACATTTGAAACTAGCATCCAAAAATGGCCTCTGCATACAGAATCTTATTTCTGGTGTGTTTTTCTCCGATTTGGTTGCTTTGTTGTATTGAGAATTGTATCACTTTTTGACAATCGCAATGAACCGTAATTGAACCGTAAAAAGCAAACAATTCACACTCAGTGCTTTTCTGTGGCCATACCTGCAGGTGAAAGCCAGATCCTGTTGGGCCTCTGAAGCTAAGCAGGGCAGGTCCTGTTTAGTAGTGTGATGGGAGACCTCTGGAAACACAGTGGGGCGACTGTGACTGTGCCAAACTGTGTTAGTGTCCTCAGGCAAGACACTTCCCCCACATCAGAATGAGTCTGGTGTGTGTGTGAATGGTTGGTGGTGGTGGGAGGGGCCGATGGCACATACTGGTTGCCTCGCTTCTGTCAGTGTGCCCCAGGGCAGCTGTGGCTACAGAAGCAGTTTATCACCACCGTGTATGCAGTGAAAGTATAATGACATGTGAAGCGTCTATACGTGTCCTGAAAAGCGCTGTATAAACTGATATTAGTATTATTACTCTGGGCTCAGTATCTCGAATGTCCATAAAACTATTCAAATGAAGATGAGTTTTCCGGGGTCAGGTCTTGTCGACTCGGACGTCTGCGGTGGGAGAGTGGACGCGTGTGCAGTTAGTGGCAGTGGTTGGATGTATATAGAAAGCTACAGACAGAGCAAGTTTGACCAATACTAGGATGCTGAAGCAATGGAGGCTGGCTTATGTCCTTGAACAGAAGTGCACAGGGAGGGGGTGGATCAGGACTTATAGAACACACCAAATGACCAAAGATGAAATGGACAAATCATTTCAAAATGTGATGAGGGGGAAAGACGTGAGACATGAGATCACACCAAACAGATTGAGTTTTGGCAAAAAAAGAGTCTAGAGAGAAATGATTGTGAATGAAGTGGTTTATGAGAGTTCAACCAGGACTGGACTTCTGCTCTGGTCCCTCTCTGACAACACTGTCGACCACCACAGAGGATTCTTTTGGATCCTGAACCAATGGGAACTCATCTCACACCTGTGCCACTCGTTTAGTTTTACTCAGTGTCTTTGGTGCATTTCTCACATTACTCTTCACATTTGCACAACTGTTGGTGCATTTCTCAGAACAATTAGTGCAAATTGCAAAACCTGGTGGATAACCTGCAAAAGTCACTTTCTCAAAATGAAAAGTGAATTCCTTAAAACCAAGTCTCCATGTCAATGAAACTGTGTCGTCAAAATGATAAGTCCTGACACCATTGAGTCTGAACAACAGTCACATGGTTTAGTCATGTTTTCATTGCTAAAGTTTACTCTCTTCAATGAAAAAGTCAGATCTTAGTGACACTATACACTGTCCAGCTGTTTGAAAACGACAAGACACATGTATGTATATATGTATATGTGTATCTATGTATCTACAGTACTGTATGTGCGTATTTCACATCCATCCATTTTCTTCCCCTTAATCCATTTCTGGGTCGTGGGGGTGGCCAGAGCTGCACCCAGTCACATAGCACCAGCCCCTCACTGATCCTCCTGCAGGTGCTGAGTCCACAGGAGCTGAGATCTTTCAGCGGGGGCTTCAGGCAAAGTGGGGTTAAGTGTCTTGCCTAAGGACACAACGACAGCAGTCATCAGTGGGAGTCGTGAAGTAGGTCTTACGGTGGGCTCGAACCCACGACCTTCAGACTCAAAGGTCAATGCTCTACCAACTGAGCCACTGTCGCCCTTTACTGCATGTTTTTTTACAATTCTACAGCATTGTGCAAAAACCCCCCCAAAAAAACAGTCTCTTACAGTATTTAGAACAAACATAAGAAATAGCATTATGGCATTAACTGTGCACAAATGTCATTGTTCAATTTAGGAGAGATTTTCAGGAAGAAAATGATAAAGGAATGTATGAAATTAGTTTGACAGATTTTTATTTTCAACAGTTTTATATGTGAAACTAAAGCAATGAAATGAGGACTATTGGTTTTAAGGGCATGACTATTCAGCTTCATAAGTATGTTTCATCCTGACTGACAGGACAGAAGCAAATGATAATGTTAAAAAACAGAGAATTGTATGAAAGTTACTGTTGAACAAAAGTGTTTGTAAAGTGTTCAGAGGAGAAACTGCTGCGATGATGTCACACATGACCCAATGTTGTGGAGGTTGAACTCATACTGTAGTTTTGAGAACTTCAAGTTTGATCTGAGAAATGCATCAAAGCGACAGAGAAAAACTGTAAACAGAGCCTCTCACTCTCTGCATGAAGCTGTTCGTGCAGAAACCCGCCTCCTCCCCATCATCAGTGCCACCTCCAGGCCAGGAGGGGGCAGTGGAACTTTACAACACAAAACCGGCGACCCACAGCAGAATAATCACTTCCTCAACAACATCCTCCTCAGGCCGCCGCAAAGACGGGAAAGAACCAACGTCATTATACTATGTATTTGTTACTATTTGATCACTTGTTTGCAACAAAAGTAAAAGCAGACTTCTGGTTACTTACAATGACACTACAACTGTCTCTGATCATGCAGCTACAGAATATTCAAGCTCACTGGTCCCAGAGAGAGACCAGAGAGAGAGACCATAAAGAGAGACCAGAGAGAGAGACCAGAGAGAGAGACCATAGAGAGAGACCAGAGAGAGAGACCAGAGAGAGAGACCATAGAGAGAGAGCAGAGAGAGAGACCATAAAGAGAGACCAGAGAGAGAGACACCAGAGAGGGACCAGTGGGAGACCAGAGAGAGAGAGAGAGCGCGAGAGAGGGACCAGGGAGAGACCAGAGAGAGAGAGACCATAGAGAGAGACCAGAGAGAGAGACACCAGAGAGGGACCAGTGGGAGACCAGAGAGAGAGAGAGAGCGCGAGAGAGGGACCAGGGAGAGACCAGAGAGAGAGAGACCATAGAGAGAGACCATAGAGAGAGACCAGAGAGAGAGACCAGAGAGAGAGACACCAGAGAGGGACCAGTGGGAGACCAAAGAGAGAGAGAGAGAGCGCGAGAGAAGGACCAGGGAGAGACCAGAGACAAAGACACCAGAGAGAGAGAGAGGGAGAGACCAGAGATGGGCCAGAGAGAAAGACCAGAGAGAGAGAGAGAGACCAGAGAGAGACCAGAGAGAGACCAGAGAGAGACCAGAGAGGGACCATTTGTTACTATTTGATAACTTGTCTGCACCACAAGTAAAAGCAGACACTAGAACTGATCACGCAGCTACAGTATGTTCATGCAAACACACAGCCCCGCCCACTCCTGGTTGAACTCACCATGGTTCCCAAATGACGGTCTGGTGTCTGTTGGTTTCTCATGTCTACAGGCAAAGAATGAATGACTCGTCTAAACTTTCCTACAAGTTTAGTTGGATTCATGTCTTTGCGTGATGGCGATCGATGGTGCGATTCCTGACTGGGGGCTCGTCCGGCAGAAGCACATACACACCCACAGACAGCAGCCATTTTCCCTCGGGACGTCCCATTCTGTCTGTTTAAGGCGACTGCGCTGCTTTGAGATGACTTATTCATGTGTTTATTACTTCCATGCCAAGCTAAAAAAATGATTGAACATGGAAGGATTTTTTTTTACCCTAAAATCCAAATCACTTTTAAATCAAAGTTTCAGCAAAAGTCCCTTAAACAGTAGCAGAAAATGACGAGAGCCTGTCATGCCGGTGGTGCCTTCGGAGCCCTAGGCCAGTGTGGGAATCCGGAGCGTTCTGGTCAAGGACACAAGAGCCAATCAGAGAAGAGGAAACCTACTGGACGCATGGTCAACCCACGGCCTCCACCACTGCTTTTTTTTGGTCTTGGTTTTCGCTCGCTGTGCTCCTAAAATTCCACAAATACATCAATGCAACAGTGAAAAATGTTAAATTCACTCGTCAGAACAAAGATCAATACAACTGTTACTGCAAATGTACAAGAGCTGCTGAAAACACCGCAGCGTAAAGTGCTACGGGCTTTGAATCAGGAGCTACAGGCCGAAGGGAAGGTCTGCTGTGATTGGTGAGAGATATAGTTGTGCTTTGAGTATAGAAAGTGTATCTGGTCTCTCTCCGGTTTCTAAACCAGAGAGAGACCAGAGAGAAACCAGAGAGAGAGACCAGAGATAGGCTGGAGAGAGACCAGAGAGAAACCGTAGAGAGACCAGAGAAAGAGAGAGACCAGAGATAGACCAGAGAGAGACCAGAGAGAAACCGTAGAGAGACCAGAGATAGACCAGAGAGAAACCGTAGAGACCAGAGAAAGAGAGAGACCAGAGATAGACCAGAGAGAGACCAGAGAGAAACCGTAGAGAGACCAGAGAAAGAGAGAGACCAGAGATAGACCAGAGAGAGACCAGAGAGAAACCGTAGAGACCAGAGAAAGAGAGAGACCAGAGATAGACCAGAGAGAGACCAGAGAGAGACCGTAGAGAGACCAGAGATAGACCAGAGAGAGAGACCATAGAGAGAGAGGGATCAGAGAGAGAGAGAGAGCCGAGAGAGGGACCTGGGAGAGACCAGAGAGACAGACCAAAGAGAGAGAGAGAGAGACCAGAGAGAGACCAGAGAGAGAGACCACAGAAAGATGCTCTGCTCTGAAAGAGGACTGTGGTCTGTTCTGGAGGTTCTTTATGAATCCAGCTCTTAGAAAAATCAAGACTCTTCTTGCTCCTGGAAAAGCCGTGTTCCAGCTTCTTCCCTCTGGCAGTAGATACTGTTGGCTGAGATACGGGACATCTGGAGAAGCTAACATGCTAACCGCTTCTTTCAGCTGTTATCAGTCAGCACTTTAATGATCCTACGCTTGTATTGAACCTATTCCAATTTTGTTTTCTGTATGTACTTAGTCTGTTTCACACTGGGGACTCTCGCACATCTATTCCAATGTGGTTTTACTGCAAACAACAACAAAGCTGACTAACTAAGTAACTAAGTTTTTATTTATATACCGCCTTTTTACTGCAGATCTGAGTCTCAAAGCGGTTTACAATTGTTAATTTTTGGGCATTTGTCTCTCACTCCACACAGAGATGGGAGCGGGGTCACCAGTACAGGAGGCACATGCCAGAACTATTGGACATATTTTTAGTGGTAGGGGAAACCGGAGTACCCGGAGGAAACCTACGCAGACACGGGGAGAACATGCAAACTCCACTCAGAAAGGCCCTGGTCCGACCGGGATTCGAACCCAGGACCTTCTTGCTGAGAGGCGAGAGTGCTATCCACTCAGCCACCGTGCCGCCCACTCTGACTCTGAACAATACAACCAATCACAGCAGACCGGGGCGTCCCTCTGGCCTGTACTAACTGTCCCTCTGAGCACTGTGGGTTCTAACAACATCTGTAAAAGCTGAGACACATTCAGTGAAAGGTGACATTACTGTCGTCGTCGTCGTCGTCTTCGTCGGGCGGCACCAGGTGGGGCCCTTCCCCCGACTCCTGGGCGATACTCAGCATCTTCTCCTTCCCTCGTTTAAACTTCTGCTGCCGGATTTTAATGCGCTCCATCCTGATTGGATTAGACCAAACAGGAGACGTGAGAGACTGTCCGCGAAACCCACAGGTACAGTATCCAGACAAACACATACGACTGGTACAGGCTGTCAGCACTGGAGTCTGGTCTCTCTCTGGTCTCTCTCTCTCTCTGGTCTCTCTCTGGTCTCTCTCTGGTCTCTCTCTGGTCTCTCTCTGGTCTCTCTCTGGTCTCTCTGCTCTCTCTCTGGTCTCTCTCTGGTCTCTCTCTGGTCTCTCTGCTCTCTCTTTGGTATCTCTCTGGTCTCTCTCTGGTCTCTCTCTGGTCTCTCTCTGGTCTCTCTCTCTCTCTCTGGTCTCTCTCTGGTCTCTCTCTGGTCTCTCTCTGGTCTCTCTCTGGTCTCTCTCTGGTCTCTCTCTGGTCTCTCTCTTGTATCTCTCTGGTATCTCTCTGGTCTCTCTCTGGTATCTCTGCTCTCTCTCTGGTATCTCTCTGGTCTCTCTCTGGTCTCTTGCTGGTCTCTCTCTCTGATCTCTCTCTGGACTCTCTCTGGTCTCTATCTCTGATCTCTCTCTGGTATCTCTCTGGTCTCTCTGCTCTCTCTTTGGTATCTCTCTGGTCTCTCTCTGGTATCTCTGCTATCTCTCTGGTATCTCTCTGGTCTCTCTCTGGTCTCTCTCTGGACTCTCTCTGGTCTCTATCTCTGATCTCTCTCTGGTCTCTCTGCTCTCTCTCTGGTATCTCTCTGGTCTCTCTCTGGTCTCTCTCTGGTTTCTCTCTGGTTTCTCTCTAGTATCTCTCTCTGGTCTCTCTCTGGTCTCTCTCTGGTATCTCTCTGGTCTCTCTGCTCTCTCTCTGGTATCTCTCTGGTCTCTCTCTGGTCTCTCTCTGGTCTCTCTCTGGTCTCTCTCTAGTATCTCTCTAGTATATCTCTGGTCTCTCTGCTCTCTCTCTGGTATCTCTCTGGTCTCTCTCTGGTCTCTCTCTAGTATCTCTCTCTAGTATCTCTCTGGTCTCTCTCTCTGATCTCTCTCTGGTCTCTCTCTAGTATCTCTGTTCTCTCTCTGCTCTCTGCTCTCTCTCTCTTTGGTCTCTCTCTGCTCTCTCTCTCTCTGGTCTCTCTGTTCACTCTCTGCTCTCTCTCTCTCTGGTCTCTCTCTGCTCTCTCTCTCTCTGCTCTCTCTCCGCTCTCTCTGCTCTCTCTCTTTCTGGGTCTATCTCTCTTGTGCTCAGACTCTTGTATTTTCATGTATTTTGTGTAAATCTTCAATAATAACAACACCATGACAGTTGTATGGCCTTCCTCTCTCCTCTTCCTCACGTGCAGCACATCACAAACATGGTTAAAAAGACCATGTGTAAACGGTCACATGGTTCTGACATAAATGTAGAGTCCTCACTGTCGTTTCAGCTGCTCCACAGACTTGCGCTCCTCTTCCAGTCGGGCTCTCACCGCCTTCACGATCGTGGCCTGGAACAGCTCAGCTCCTCTGACACACAGCACACAGGCATTTTGGCACAAATGAAACAAGCAAACAAAAACTCTTCACTTTACTGAAATAGTAAATTGATCCGTTCTAATGTTTTTCTTGTCTCTTGTGTCTCTTCTTTGTTTCTGAAACTTAGAGAATTCACCACAAAGTCTGAGATCCTGCTTCACTTTTATCTCTGCAGCGATGAAAGTTTGTTTAGTGGTTTTGAGACTCAGTGACATCAGAGGAAAAGAAAGGAGAGAGACCAGAGAGAGACTAGAGAGAGACCAGAGAGAGACTAGAGAGAGACTAGAGAGAGACCAGAGAGAGACTAGAGAGAGACAAGAGAGAGACTAGAGAGAGACAAGAGAGAGACTAGAGAGAGACTAGAGAGACAAGAGAGAGACTAGAGAGAGACTAGAGAGAGACCAGAGAGAGACTAGAGAGAGACAAGAGAGAGACTAGAGAGAGACTAGAGAGACAAGAGAGAGACTAGAGAGAGACTAGAGAGAGACCAGAGAGAGACTAGAGAGAGACCAGAGAGAGACTAGGGAGAGATTAGAGAAAGACTAGAGAGAGACAAGAGAGAGACCAGAGAGAGACTAGGGAGAGACTAGAGAGAGACAAGAGAGAGACTAGAGAGAGACAAGAGAGAGACTAGAGAGAGACCAGAGAGAGACTAGGGAGAGACTAGAGAGAGACTAGAGAGAGACCAGAGAGAGACTAGGGAGAGACTAGAGAGAGACAAGAGAGAGACTAGAGAGAGACAAGAGAGAGACTAGAGAGAGACCAGAGAGAGACTAGGGAGAGACTAGAGAGAGACAAGAGAGAGACAAGAGAGAGACCAGAGAGAGACTAGAGAGAGACTAAAGAGAGAGGACAGAGAGCGACTAGAGAGAGACTAGAGAGAGACCAGAGAGAGACTAGAGAGAGACCAGAGAGAGACTAGAGAGAGACCAGAGAGAGACTAGAGAGAGACCAGAGAGAGACTAGAGAGAGACCAGAGAGAGACTAGAGAGAGACTAGAGAGAGACTAGAGAGAGACCAGAGAGAGACTAGAGAGAGACCAGAGAGAGACTAGAGAGAGACTAGAGAGAGACTAGAGAGAGACTAGAGAGAGACAAGAGAGAGACTAGAGAGAGACCAGAGAGAGACTAGGGAGAGAGAGAGAGACAGAGAGAGACTAGAGAGAGACTAGAGAGAGACTAGAGAGAGACAAGAGAGAGACTAGAGAGAGACAAGAGAGAGACTAGAGAGAGACCAGAGAGAGACTAGGGAGAGACTAGAGAGAGACAAGAGAGAGACAAGAGAGAGACCAGAGAGAGACTAGAGAGAGACTAAAGAGAGAGGACAGAGAGCGACTAGAGAGAGACCAGAGAGAGACTAGGGAGAGACTAGAGAGAGACCAGAGAGAGACTAGAGAGAGACCAGAGAGAGACTAGAGAGAGACAGAGAGAGAGAGACCAGAGAGAGACCAGAGAGAGACCTAGAGAGAGACCAGAGAGAGACTAGAGAGAGACAGAGAGAGACTAGAGAGAGACCAGAGAGAGACTAGAGGGAGACCAGAGAGAGACTAGAGAGAGACCAGAGAGAGACTAGAGAGAGACCAAAGAGAGACTAGAGGGAGACCAGAGAGAGACTAGAGAGAGACTAGAGAGAGACCAGAGAGAGACTAGAGGGAGACCAGAGAGAGACTAGAGAGAGACCAGAGAGAGACTAGAGAGAGACAAGAGAGAGACTAGAGAGAGACTAGAGAGAGACAAGAGAGAGACTAGAGAGAGACCAGAGAGAGACCAGAGAGAGACCAGAGAGAGACCAGAGAGAGACCAGAGAGAGACCAGAGAGAGACTAGAGAGAGACTAGAGAGAGACAAGAGAGAGACTAGAGAGAGACAAGAGAGAGACTAGAGAGAGGCCAGAGAGAGACCAGAGAGAGACCAGAGAGAGGCCAGAGAGAGACTAGAGAGAGGCCAGAGAGAGACCAGAGAGAGACCAGAGAGAGACCAGAGAGAGACCAGAGAGAGACCAGAGAGAGACCAGAGAGAGACCAGAGAGAGACCAGAGAGAGACCAGAGAGAGATCAGAGAGAGAGACCAGAGAGAGACCAGATAGAGACCAGAGAGAGACCAGAGATAGAGACCAGAGAGAGACCAGAGAGAGACCAGATAGAGACCAGAGAGAGACTAGAGAGAGACCAGAGAGAGACTAGAGAGAGACTAGGGAGAGACTAGAGAGAGACTAGAGAGAGACGAGAGAGGCCAGAGAGAGACCAGAGAGAGACTAGAGAGAGACTAGAGAGAGACTATAGAGAGAGGAACAGAGAGCAACTAGAGAGAGACTAGAGAGAGACAAGAGAGAGACCAGAGAGAGACCAGAGAGAGACTAGAGAGAGACTAGAGAGAGGCCAGAGAGAGACCAGAGAGAGACTAGAGAGAGACTAGAGAGAGGCCAGAGAGAGACCAGAGAGAGACTAGAGAGAGACTAGAGAGAGACTAGAGAGAGACCAGAGAGAGACTAGAGGGAGACCAGAGAGAGACTAGAGAGAGACTAGAGAGAGACCAGAGAGAGACTAGAGAGAGACTAGAGAGAGACTAGAGAGAGACTAGAGAGAGACCAGAGAGAGACTAGAGAGAGACCAGAGAGAGACTAGAGAGAGACCATGGGCGGCAGTAGCTCAGTTGGTAGAGCTTTGGCCTTTGAGCCAGAAGGTCGTGGGTTCAAGCCCCGCTCAAGACTTTCACCATCGACTCCCTCTGACTACTGTCGTTGTGTCCTTGGCAAGACACTTAACCTCTGGGAACACCAGCCACAGAGGCCAGAGAGAGACCAGAGAGAGACCAGAGAGAGACCAGATAGAGAGACCAGATAGAGAGACCAGATAGAGAGACCAGAGAGAGACCAGAGAGAGACCAGAGAGAGACCAGAGAGAGACCAGATAGAGACCAGATAGAGAGACCACAGAAAGATGCTTTGCTCTGAAAGAGGACTGGGTCTGTTCTGGAGTTTCTTTATGAATCCAGCTCTTAGAAAAATCAAGACTCTTCTTGCTCCTGGAAAAGCCGTGTTCCAGCTTCTTCCCTCTGGCAGTAGATATTGTTGGCTGAGATACAGGACATCTGGAGAAGCTAACATGCTAACCGCTTCTTTCAGCTGTTATCAGTCTGAACGAAGCACTTTAATGATCCTACGCTTGTATTGAACCTATTTTTGTGGATTACTTTCACAGTGACACATTTTTCTTGTACTTATCGATTGTACTAATCTTGTACAAATTAACCGTCGTTTTATCTAAGTATTTGTCTGTTTCACACTGGGGACTCTCGCACAGCTATTCCAATGGGGTTTTACTACAAATGGCAACAAACCTGGCATTTGCAGTAAAACCACCACGGTCTGTTACGGTCTGTTACGGTCTGTTACTGTCTGTTATGGTCTGTTACTGTCTGTTATGGTCTGTTACTGTCTTACTGTCTGTTATGGTCTGTTATGGTCTGTTACTGTCTGTTACTGTCTGTTACTGTCTGTTACTGTCTGTTACTGTCTGTTACTGTCTGTTACTGTCTTACGGTCTGTTACTGTCTGTTACTGTCTGTTACGGTCTGTTACTGTCTGTTACTGTCTGTTACTGTCTGTTACTGTGTGTTACTGTCTTACGGTCTGTTACAGTCTGTTACGGTCTGTTATGGTCTGTTACTGTCTGTTACTGTCTTATGGTCTGTTATGGTCTGTTACTGTCTGTTACGGTCTGTTATGGTCTGTTACGGTCTGTTATGGTCTGTTATGGTCTGTTATGGTCTGTTACTGTCTGTTACGGTCTGTTATGGTCTGTTACTGTCTTACGGTCTGTTACGGTCTGTTATGGTCTGTTACGGTCTGTTACGGTCTGTTACGGTCTGTTACTGTCTGTTACTGTCTGTTACGGTCTGTTACTGTCTGTTACTGTCTGTTACTGTCTGTTACGGTCTGTTACGGTCTGTTACGGTCTGTTACAGTCTGTTACGGTCTGTTACGGTCTGTTACTGTCTGTTATGGTCTGTTACTGTCTGTTACGGTCTGTTACGGTCTGTTACTGTCTGTTATGGTCTGTTACTGTCTGTTACGGTCTGTTACTGTCTGTTACTGTCTGTTACTGTCTGTTACTGTCTGTTACGGTCTGTTACTGTCTGTTACGGTCTGTTATGGTCTGTTACTGTCTGTTACGGTCTGTTACGGTCTGTTACTGTCTGTTACGGTCTGTTACTGTCTGTTACGGTCTGTTATGGTCTGTTACTGTCTGTTACTGTCTGTTACTGTCTGTTACGGTCTGTTACTGTCTGTTACTGTCTGTTACTGTCTTACGGTCTGTTATGGTCTGTTATGGTCTGTTACTGTCTGTTACGGTTTGTTATGGTCTGTTACTGTCTGTTACTGTCTGTTACGGTCTGTTACTGTCTGTTACTGTCTGTTACTGTCTTACGGTCTGTTATGGTCTGTTATGGTCTGTTACTGTCTGTTACGGTCTGTTATGGTCTGTTACTGTCTGTTACGGTTTGTTACTGTCTTACGGTCTGTTATGGTCTGTTATGGTCTGTTACTGTCTGTTACGGTCTGTTATGGTCTGTTACTGTCTGTTACTGTCTGTTACTGTCTGTTACTGTCTGTTACTGTCTGTTACTGTCTGTTACGGTCTGTTACGGTCTGTTACGGTCTGTTACTGTCTGTTACGGTCTGTTACTGTCTGTTACGGTCTGTTACTGTCTGCTACGGTCTGTTATGGTCTGTTACTGTCTGCTACGGTCTGTTATGGTCTGTTACGGTCTGTTACGGTCTGTTATGGTCTGTTACGGTCTGTTACTGTCTGTTACTGTCTGTTACGGTCTGTTACTGTCTGTTACTGTCTTACGGTCTGTTATGGTCTGTTATGGTCTGTTACTGTCTGCTACGGTCTGTTATGGTCTGTTACGGTCTGTTACGGTCTGTTATGGTCTGTTACGGTCTGTTACGGTCTGTTACGGTCTGTTATGGTCTGTTACTGTCTGTTACTGTCTTACGGTCTGTTACTGTCTGTTACTGTCTGTTACGGTCTGTTACGGTCTGTTACGGTCTGTTACGGTCTGTTACGGTCTGTTATGGTCTGTTACGGTCTGTTACGGTCTGTTACTGTCTGTTACGGTCTGTTACGGTCTGTTACGGTCTGTTACGGTCTGTTATGGTCTGTTATGGTCTGTTACGGTCTGTTACGCTCTGTTACTGTCTGTTACGGTCTGTTACGGTCTGTTACGGTCTGTTACGGTCTGTTACGGTCTGTTACGGTCTGTTACTGTCTGTTACGGTCTGTTACTGTCTGTTACGGTCTGTTACTGTCTGTTACGGTCTGTTACTGTCTGTTACGGTCTGTTACGGTCTGTTACGGTCTGTTACGGTCTGTTATGGTCTGTTACGGTCTGTTACGGTCTGTTACGGTCTGTTACTGTCTGTTACTGTCTGTTACTGTCTGTTACTGTCTGTTACGGTCTGTTACTGTCTGTTACTGTCTTACGGTCTGTTATGGTCTGTTATGGTCTGTTACTGTCCTGTTACGGTCTGTTATGGTCTGTTACTGTCTGTTACGGTCTGTTACTGTCTGTTACGGTCTGTTACTGTCTGTTACTGTCTGTTACTGTCTGTTACGGTCTGTTACTGTCTGTTACGGTCTGTTACGGTCTGTTATGGTCTGTTACTGTCTGTTACGGTCTGTTACTGTCTGTTGCTGTCTGTTACTGTCTGTTACTGTCTGTTACGGTCTGTTAGTGTCTGTTACGGTCTGTTATGGTCTGTTATGGTCTGTTACTGTCTTACGGTCTGTTACGGTCTGTTACAGTCTGTTACGGTCTGTTACGGTCTGTTACGGTCTGTTACGGTCTGTTATGGTCTGTTACTGTCTGTTACGGTCTGTTACGGTCTGTTACTGTCTGTTACGGTCTGTTACGGTCTGTTATGGTCTGTTACGGTCTGTTACTGTCTGTTACGGTCTGTTACGGTCTGTTATGGTCTGTTACGGTCTGTTACGGTCTGTTACGGTCTGTTACGGTCTGTTACTGTCTGTTACAGTCTGTTACGGTCTGTTACGGTCTGTTACGGTCTGTTATGGTCTGTTACTGTCTGTTACGGTCTGTTACGGTCTGTTACTGTCTGTTACGGTCTGTTACTGTCTTACGGTCTGTTACGGTCTGTTACTGTCTGTTACGGTCTGTTACGGTCTGTTACTGTCTGTTATGGTCTGTTATGGTCTGTTATGGTCTGTTACTGTCTGTTACTGTCTGTTACGGTCTGTTATGGTCTGTTACTGTCTTACGGTCTGTTACGGTCTGTTATGGTCTGTTACGGTCTGTTACGGTCTGTTACGGTCTGTTACTGTCTGTTACTGTCTGTTACTGTCTGTTACGGTCTGTTACTGTCTGTTACTGTCTGTTACTGTCTTACGGTCTGTTATGGTCTGTTACAGTCTGTTACGGTCTGTTACTGTCTGTTACTGTCTGTTATGGTCTGTTACTGTCTGTTACGGTCTGTTACGGTCTGTTACTGTCTGTTACTGTCTGTTACGGTCTGTTACTGTCTGTTACTGTCTGTTACTGTCTGTTACGGTCTGTTACTGTCTGTTACGGTCTGTTATGGTCTGTTACTGTCTGTTACGGTCTGTTACGGTCTGTTACTGTCTGTTACGGTCTGTTACTGTCTGTTGTCTGTTATGGGTTACTGTTACTGTCTGTACTGTCTTACGGTCTGTTACTGTTATGGTCTGTTACTGTCTGTTACGGTCTGTTATGGTCTGTTACTGTCTGTACGGTCTGTTACGGTCTGTTACTGTCTGTTACGGTCTGGTCTGTTACGGTCTGTTACGGTCTGTTACTGTCTGTTACGGTCTGTTACTGTCTGTTACGGTCTGTTACTGTCTGTTACTGTCTGTTACGGTCTGTTACGGTCTGTTATGGTCTGTTACGGTCTGTTACGGTCTGTTATGGTCTGTTACGGTCTGTTACGGTCTGTTACGGTCTGTTACTGTCTGTTACGGTCTGTTTTACGGTCTGTTACTGTCTGTTACGGTCTGTTACTGTTACGGTCTGTTACTGTTTTGGTCTGTTACTGTCTGTTACGGTCTGTTACGGTCTGTTACGGTCTGTTACTGTCTGTTACGGTGTCTGTTATGGTCTGTTACGGTCTGTTACTGTCTGTTACGGTCTGTTACGGTCTGTTACTGTCTGTTACGGTCTGTTACGGTCTGTTATGGTCTGTTACTGTCTGTTACGGTCTGTTACGGTCTTGTTACTGTCTGTTACGGTCTGTTACGGTTCTGTCTGTTATTGGTCTGTTACGGTCTGTTTACGGTCTGTTACGGTCTGTTACTGTCTGTTACTGTCTGTTACGGTCTGTTACGGTCTGTTACTGTCTGTTACTGTCTGTTACGGTCTGTTACGGTCTGTTACGGTCTGTTATGGTCTGTTACTGTCTGTTACGGTCTGTTACGGTCCTGTTACTGTCTGTTACGGTCTGTTACTGTCTGTTACGGTCTGTTACGGTCTGTTACTGTCTGTTACGGTTCTGTTACGGTTTGTTACTGTCTGTTACTGTCTGTTACGGTCTGTTACGGTCTGTTACTGTCTGTTACTGTCTGTTACTGTCTGTTACGGTCTGTTACGGTCTGTTAACTGTAACTCTATTTTAAATTGTATATTTATTCTTTAGAAGTGTTTGTTATTCTTATTTTTTTTATCTTCTTTTGACTGTTGCACGAGCCAAAGAAATTTCCAAGTCTGTGACCTCCGTTACGTTGGCCAATTAAAATAATGATTCTGATTTGATTCTGATTCCTGATTATGGTCTGTTACGGTCTGTTACGGTCTGTTACTGTCTGTTACGGTCTGTTTATGGTCTGTTTTACTGTCTGTTACGGTCTGTTACTGTCTGTTACTGTCTGTTATGGTCTGTTACGGTCTGTTACGGTCTGTTACGGTCTGTTACGGTCTGTTACTGTCTGTTACGGTCTGTTATGGTCTGTTACGGTCTGTTACAGTCTGTTACGGTCTGTTACTGTCTGTGACGGGTCTGTTACGGTCTGTTATTGGTCTGTTACGGTCTGTTATGGTCTGTTACGGTCTGTTACGGTCTGTTATGGTCTGTTACGGGTCTGTTACGGTCTGTTACTGTCTGTTACTGTCTGTTATGGTCTGTTACGGTCTGTTTACTGTCTGTTATGGTCTGTTATGGTCTGTTATGGTCTGTTACTGTCTGTTACTGTCTGTTACTGTCTGTTACGGTCTGTTACTGTCTGTTACTGTCTGTTATGGTCTGTTAACTGTCTGTCGGTTGTTACGGTCTGTTACGGTCTGTTACTAGTCTGTTACGGTCTGTTACGG